AAAAAAACAAAAAAAAAATATATATATATATATATATATATATATAACCTCACTTCCCTAGAGTAGTCTATTTTTGACATTGATACTTTTGTTGTTGATTACAAGCTTCATGAGTCAGTTTTCCTTTTAATTTCTTGGATAAGAATCAACCCAAGGCAGTGATTAGGAAAAACATAGAAAATTTAATGCAACTAACTTGAGCTGAAATTCAAAGCCTGAAGCAGAACAGAAACTGAGGATATACTATAGGCAATAACTGTGGGACATAAGAGGGAACGGCTGATGGAAAGTCTAGTTTGCTTCTCAGTAGTCGCCAACTGTGCACTGGCCTCATTTCTAAGAACTTCTTCATTAAACAGGTTGACTCAGACCATGCCATGCTTTCCATGGCTTATATATAAAGACTTTGTATTAATTAGAGTGACTATCATCATATGTGTTCTCTGGTCTGTGTGTACTTCAAATAAATATTTCCTTTTTAACTCATTGGTCAGCTTCTGAAAGGTGGAGAATTTACTTTTACATTTTTAAAACTATCTCAAATATGTAGCAGTGGACTCAGTAGATGGTCAATCTATCACATATAGAATGGAATAAATTATAAAGTTAAAAGTTCTGCAAGGGTTTTTACCTTTTCACTATTATTCCTGCGTCCTGATTGACACGTTATTCCCTTGTTTTGTCTACCTGTTCATCCATCTTCTAGTCTGCAGGTGTTTTGAGGGCAGGAGCTATGTCTTATTCATCACTGTATCCTTCATACTGGCATGGTATCTGACATAACAGCTACTCAGCAGATGTATGTTCTATGTGTAGACATATCAAACTTCCATCATATGTGAATTTGGGGAAGTTGTATTTGCTTGAGTTTTTAAAAAGGTTGAATTCACTTTTTCCTTCACTGACTTAAAGAGATATGAATTTTTTATCAAAATACGCAGCAAGCATCTGTCAAGTTCTTGCCATTTTACTCAAATTAATGTTTAAAAATACTCTTTTTTTGCTTTATTCTAGAACTGAACAATGCCACAAAAACATTCTTTACTAAAGAATATTTGAAAATAAAGCAAAGCTTTCAGAAATCTAGCTCTGCAAAGTGGCCTCTACCAAGCTGCAGAAAAGCTTTCCATCTTTTTGGAGGTAAGGACACTAACACAAACACACACACACACACACACACACACACACACACACACACAACCGCTTTAGTAACTTTGTCCAGGATCTCTTCTTGTCTTAGAAATCTTAGGAAACATATTTCTGTATTCATCAATTTTAAGTAAGGATTTTGCTAAGTATTGCTTTGCTGAAAACTACAGATGTATATATGAAGAAAATGAAGACTACACAATAAAAGCAAATTTGAAAGAAACCCATGATTAAACTAACTGTGCCTTGCCATCCATAATGTTAAATATGTAAGTAATGAAAATATATATCAAAAGTATCAGATTTGACAAAAGTTATATTTGGCAAAAGCACTAGTATTCTCCTTAAAGATTCTTAATATTTCATTAATTATCATAAACTAAATTTATTTAGTTTTAATGTTTTACAGTTGTTCCACAAGTTTAGAACAAGTGGCAAGTGACAGAGCCTTGGTGTAGAGGGTATCTCAGAGGTGTGCAATGGTCTAGGAATGCCAATTTCTGGGATCAGGTCTAAGTGTTAATATGACTTCGGGGATGTCATAGAAACCTTCTTTTATTTGTTTTTTTAATCTGTAAAGTGGGAATAATTATGTCTGGCCCACCTAATTAATGTAGTTGTAAAGATTAAATGGGCTAACGTAAAAAAGCACATTCTAAAATTCTAACTATACTGTATAGACATTAAGAACAAGGGCAAAGCAATTTCAAATACCTTTTTCAGCTTTGAGAATTTATTACTGTATGACCATACGATATGGAAATAAAATGTAACTTTATCTTTTCTAAAACCATAGTTTGTCGGAGCATGAACTACTAGGCAGCTTTAGTATTTATCACTTAGGATATTATGGTGCCTGCTAGAAAAAGTCCAGATGCGAGAATTATGATCTTCAGAGAACAGGAGGAACTTCTACATAAGAAGACCAACAAGATCAATACAGCAGGGACCTAGACCAGCAGGAGAGAGAAGCAGAGTCGGTATGGTCGAGGCAAAATAATAAATTGGTACATGAAATCTCTTAAATTTGTAGAAAGTAATTTAAGGACCAATATAACTTTGCATAGTTGTTTGAATGAAGAAGGTAGTTTAAGGACTTATATTAGCACATATTACTTTATAATGAGGTTAGTAACTATACAAAATTATCCAGAGATTTGACTTTGAATATGTTATTTATATCTATAATTATCTAGAGTTAGGTTTTAAATATATCAAATTTAGCCCCAAAATAATATGAAATCAAATATAAGAAAACCAGTCTTAAAGGATTTTGTACCAAAGAAGAGAACGTTTATAATTTGAATTATGTTCTTTAAAAGATTCCCTGTCTGGCTGTGGTGGCTCAAGCCATAATCCCAGCACTTTGGGAGGCCAAGATGAGAGGACTGCCTGAGTCCACGGGTTCAAGAACAGCCTGGGCAACTTGGCAAGACCTCATCTCTATAATAAATCAACACAACAACAAATAAGCTAGCCGGGCATGGTAGCACACGCCTGTAGTTCTGGCTACTTGGAAGGCTGAGGCAGAAGGATCTCCTGAGCCCAGCAGGTCGATGCTGGAGAGACCATGAGCGTGCCACTGCATTCCAGCTTGGGCAACAGAGTGAGACTCTAACTCGTCAAAGAAAAAGATTCCCTTATATCTTACTTTCCACCTTATACCTAAATGTTTTTTTTTTTGTTTGTTTTTTTTGAGTTGGAGTCTCACTCTGTCCCCCTTACCCTTCTAAGTAGCTGGAACTACAGGCACGTGCCACCATGCCCAGCTGTTTTTTTGATTTATTGTAGAGATGAGGTCTCGCCAAGTTTCCCAGGCTGGTCTTGAACCCGTGAGCTCAGGCAATCCTCTCACCTCAGCCTCCCAAAGTGCTGGGATTATAGGTGTAAGCCACTGCCCCCGGCCCTTATACCTAAATTTTTAAAAGAATGGAGCACCTTCACGATAACCCTACCCTTTCCTTAGTCTTTTTTTTTTTATTTCTGAGGTTCTACAGAGGCTATAACTTAAACAGTTTTTTTTTTTAAATATATTTCTTCTTGTCCTCCCCATAGAAGTTCTACAGAACTTAATTTTTTAAATACATGTTTATGGAGGAAGTCTAAGCATTAGTATACCACTCAATTTAAGAAATATATATATATATATTACTATCAAGTTCTCAGCTGAGCTGGGCAAGAGCTGGGTTATCAGGTGCCTGGAGTAGCTGATGAAAGCAAAAATGAGAGCTAATCCTTTAAACACTGACTGCAATAGTATAAGCAAGTGTCTAAAACCAGAGGAAATGCTGACTCTGACTCGCCAGTTCTGTTTCCCTCATAGTATGGTACACTGGTCTAGGGCCAGATGGAGCTGGACAGAGGAAGGAGGTTGGCTCCACTATTCAGAAAGCCCCAAGCAAAAGACTCCAACCGTTTTTTGGACCCTGCATGGTGAGGAGGAAGGGCTGAGAGTGGGAAAGAACTGGACACTGAGTCAAAGTGGGGAAAGTATTCCCAGGGTTCTCCCACCCACAGCCTCCATAAGAACCACTTGGCAAAGAAACCAAAAGAAGACCTCTGCCCAAGGCCTCAGACAAATTTAGATCATGAGGAATTAAGGCATAGGGCTAGGAATGTAAATATGTGAAAGTATATCTGCGGCCAGGGGAGGCTGAAAACTTAACTGCCACTCCCTTCAGAGACTAATGCACTGGGTGTCCTCCAAGTCTGGTGTGGGAGGGGCAGCTTTCTCCTGTGAGTCCTGCTAAGTGAAGTCTCTGTAATTGTCCTTGGTGAGGCCAGAAAAATCACATGTAAGATTTTGATCAGGAACTGGACTCTTCAATTATCAGTATTATTGAAGCACCTTCTGTACTTCTCCTTTGTTACATCCTGCTTTCCCTGAATTTTCTATTTATTTATACAGGTATCCATATGTATACTTAATGTTATTTAATTTTCCTTGTTTTTTAACCTTTGCAATGGCAACGGTGTATCTATTCTGCTTTGCTTTGTCAGTAAATATTATGTTTCTCAAATTCATCCATTTCAGTGAGTGTAGCCCCATTCATTTATTTTTACTACTGCACTGTAATAATTATGTGAATATACCCCAACTCAGTTTATCCATTTTCCTGTTGATGAACAGTTGGGTTGTCCAGTTTTCTGCTGCTGTAAACATTCTTGTCATGTCTCCTTGGAGCGTAAGAGTTCCTCTAGGAAAAAAACGCCAGTAGAAATTTGCTGGGTCATAGGAAAAGCACATCTTTAACTTGATTACCTAAACCAAACTGTCTTCCTAGATGGCTATTCTGATCTATCACTAGCTTTCTCTACCACATTTGGTGTTTTTGGGACTATTAGATTTTGCTAGTCCAATTGGTATAAAATGGTGTCTAGTTGGGGTTTTAATTTTTATTACTCTGATTGCTAATTGTGGTTGATATAGCTTTATATGTGTATTGGCCATTGAATTTCTTCATTTGTGAAACGCCTATTTACACATTTTGTCCATTTTTCTAGTGATTGTATTTTTATTGTTTTTGAGAGGGTTTTTTTGTGCTACACGCTTATTCCAAACATCAAGAGGCTCACAGTTAAATTTGCTATTTATATGACAATGGAAAGCATTTTGAGGCTTCAAAACCTGCCAGATCTATAAATATACTAGAATGAAGAACAGCAGTCAGTCAGTATGAAACGGTTTCTGTATTCAAGAGATAACTGAACCAGTGAGAAAGAAAAGTGATATGGGTTTACTATTATGTTACGTATACATGTGACCATCAGAAATGAGGTCAGTTTTGTGCACTAATAGCTAACAATTTTAAATTTTAAAATCAGAGAAAGTTTGCTCTGGGAAATTATTTTTCTATTTGAACACAAATGTATTAATGAAAATTCCAACATTAAGAGAATAGTTTCACCTTTGGCGATATATTGACACTGTCCTTTAACCACTCTATTTTTCTTTTTTTTCCCCCATTTTAGAACACAGGGTACACGTGAGGATTTTTTATGTTGGTATATTGCTTGAAGGCAAGTTTTGGACTTCTGATGAGCTCTCCTTCCCCTGTAGTGAGTGTGGTACCCAATAGGTGGTTTGCATCCCTTATTCCCCCTCTCTCCATCCCTTCTTTAACAGTGCTCAGTGTCTGTCGTTCCCAGCCTTGTGCCCATGTGTGCCTAGTGTTTAGTACCCACTTATGAGTGAAAATATATGGTATGCAGTTTTCTATTTCGGCAAAAGTTTACTTATAATAATGGCCTCCAGCTTCATCCGTGTTGCGCAAATGCCACGATTTCAATCTTTTTATGGCTGTGTAGTATTCCATAGTGTATATGTACTACATTTTCTTTATTATGTTCACTGTCAATGGTTACCTGGGTAGGTTCCATGTTTTGCTATTGTGAATAGTGCTGCAATAAACATACAAGTGTCTTTTTGATAGAACAATTTATGCTTCTTTGGGTATATTTCCAAAAGCAGAATTGCTGGGTCAAATGGTACCTCTAGTTTTACTTATTTGAGAAATCTCCAAACTGCTTTCCACAGGCACTGAACTAGCTTTCATTCCTACAATCAGTGTATGGGCATTCTCTTTTCTCCACAGCCACACTACAAACATGCTTTTTTGTTTGTTTTTTTGCTTTTTAATAAAGCCATCCTGAGTGGTGTGAGAGGGTTCTCACTGTAATTTTTATTTTCATTTCTCTGATGATTAATGATGGTGGTTTTTTTTGTTTTGTTTTGTTTTTTGGCTGCTTGTATATCTTCCTTTGAGAAGTGTCTGTGTACTTTGCCTACTTTTTTTTTTTTAAGCAGGATTTACTGAGAGGACAGAAAAGCACCCAGAGCAGGAGGGGACCCGAATGGGTTGTCCTGCCCACTTTTTCATGGGGTTATTTGGGTTTTTTTCCTGTCAATTTACTTGAGTTCCTTATAGAGTCTGGATATTGGACCTTTCTTGGATGCATAGTTTGCAAATATTTTCTCCCTTTCTGTGGGT